GTCTCAGCCAAAGGCCAAGCCGTGATGGTGAATCTTTAAACGACATTTAAAATAGGGGAGAGATGGAGATATTTCATCTGTTTTTAACTTGTCTTATTCGTTTATGACCTCATATCCCTTTGAAAAAGTGAAAAAGTGACTGGTTTATTAGAAAAATGAGCTGCAGTAAGCAAATTTGACCACAAGATGTCATTCTTACTTAATTCTTACATAATACAGCTTTTAGTATTTAGTATTGGTGTTCTTACTTTATATTCTGCTGATTATACCTACATTTTGTAAAAAGCATAATATACTGCACCTTTAAAAAGACACACTTTTAAAGCATTCTTGTCCCAGTTGTTGCTTTTTGTTATAATTTGGACGACGGCTCGGCAACATTTTGTGACTGTTTTCCATCGATTAGCACAGTTTATTTTATTTGCTCAAATAAAAACAACTATTTCCACCTAGGCTTGATGACAGGTGCTCTTTTCCTCACCTATAAAGTTTTCTAATTATACTTTCAGATGCAGCTCTCTGTAGTCATGGAAAAGCACCCTTGGCTCATTTTAAGCCAATGTTCCGTCTACTGTCTGGTTCTGGGTGATACTTTAGGTCACCTTCTTCATTTTTCATGGGTGTTAAGCTGGACAAATGTGATGCTCACATTTCGTCCCACAAAGTTTGGTCACTGACCTCCAGCGCCGACGCACTGCAGCATAGCGGTCGCAGAACGTTGTCCTGTTGTGAGTCTTTATGAGTCCTCCCTGTACAGAGACAGCACTCTGAAGTCGTAAAGCAACACCGAGGCACTGTGCAGAGCCAAATAAGCATATCTACATAAGCACTGTAAAATACTAAAGCTTCTTTTATGTCCATCAACAAAAATATAAATGATGTATAAATGCAACAAAACCTCGCAGTTTGTTTGTTGTACTTTATCAAACTGGTACTGGTAATCAAAAACTCCTTGAATTATTTAAGTTAATGAAAAGCCATTTAAATAATTAACATGTGTCAGAATCATAAGAAGTTCATAGGATAACATTTTAAAGTGTTGCGTCTAGTTATATAGTTCCTGGGAATAAGTGCGTCTATAAAGGTGAACATTAACAGGTGAAGAGAACACTGAGTGATGCATGTTCTGGTCTTAAACATGACTTAGTTTGGTTATTTTATTTAACACATACAGAGAATTCACTGCAGCAACAAATGGGGTCTTCTGCTCTCTCAGTGGTTATAGAGTATGTATGATATTTTCAAAAATATTTATAAAAACATAAAAACGTTAATTAAAATGAATAAACAATTTCATGCTCAGAAAAGCATTTACATGCAATAACACTACCCTGAATTTCTTTCTCTGTACAATGCGACAATGGTTCTACCATGAGTGAAAATGGATGTTTTTGGATAAAACGCTGAAAAAAACAACCAAAAATGTTATAGCATCCGGTGAGTAGAATCAGCCTAATGTTCAGAGATTGGCTTCAAACTCAAAAATCGGATCATTGAAGACACTGCGCCAAACAGCAGTTAAGAGGATCCAACACTTTTTGGGGTCTGTAAACTCACCATCATCAAGTGCTACTTGACACCACCAAAAACAAGTTTTCCACGTGGAAGTTCATACTTTCAGAATCATGATCTAACCAGAAACAGTAAAACTACAGTGAAAGGGATGGTGCATAGTGAATGGCTTAAGACATCACTTATTGTGACTAGTTGTTCAGTTATAAACAATAACATCTTACCTATTGCAGATAGTCCTTAGCCTAGAAGTCCAGATGGACAGTAGCAAAAGCTCAGTGGAACCTCCACAGCCCCGACCACTTTTCTTTGACTCAAGAGCAGATAGAGGCACTTTAGTCACTTATTTAGAAAAATGATTTATTTGCATCTTCTCTGACAGTATATGGTGCTGTTGACTGACATCCGTAGCAGAGAGTTTGTTACGTTGTTAGTTGTCGAAAAGCATGTTTTGCAAGTTTGCACCCGCTTTGCATCTGTTAAGTTCCTTGAATATCTCACAGGGGGTTCAGTGTTCTTCACATGTGAAGGGACTCTTGGGGCGACGGTGGCACAGGAGTTAAGTGCTCGCCCTGTTGTCGGAAGTTTGCAGGTTCGAGCCCCACATCCGGCATTCAGCCGAGTCCCAGTGGGCCGAAGAAACAGGATTTGATTAAAACATAATCTGCTGAGATACAGGTGACTTCTTCCCTCGGGAGGTGCCAATGACAGCACGCAGACTGCTGCTTGTGCACCTCTGAAATTGAATTAACATGTCTGCTGAAAATACAGCAACCAGATCTACTGATATGAGACTTGTGTACTGTTTCCCTGGAGTGCTGGGACGCAGCTTTCCGCCAACTTGGAGAATCAAAGATATGTTCTATAGAATATCCACACTACTGGGCTGATTATTGTTGCATTTAGCGTCGCGGTGGCGTCTGCCGTGCCACGCTGACTGGGTCGTGCGGTCGTCTTTGAATGGAGTTCTTCAGGTGAATTTTTACCAGAGGCAGAGCTGGACTTGATCTCTTCATGGAACACCCTATGAATTATAAATGACAGCCTCGCTTCAGCTTTGACCTTGCCTCAGCCACTTGTCTTTAAAATGCTAACAGAGCTGATCTTCTGGGATGTCGCCTGTACAATCAGTGATCACATGGGCTGGCATGAAGATCAACTATGTGAACATACATTAAAAACCCAGCAGGAAATAAAAGAAGCAGCAATGCTGTTATCTTTCTGAGACAAAAATGAGCCGAAAGTTCAATAACATCGACTTTGTTTGTTTATTGTAAATTATGTGGCTGGGAAAAACTTCCTAATATTTTTCACAAGCAGCAATTCAAACAGCACCTTGCTTTGGAGGCAAAGGTAGATCATCTTATGAATGATTAACTTGTTCTGCATATTTAACTTGGTGCTTTTGCTTCTGAAGTGATCTCAGGTCGAGGCGTCGACAAACCCGCAGCACCAAAAAGAGTTTTTCCCAGTTGAACAAGAAACATGATTATGCATCTTCTACTTTTTAAAGAAATATCACAAACAGAAACTGTTTTTATTAATTTATAATCCTTTCTGATCTTTACAACTGTCTTGAGCCAGGCTGTAGTTATTCATAAGCTAGCTGGCTTGTTTAAGCGCTCTTAAGGAGAAACATCTGTTCCTCTAGCCTGTCATTTACCCAACCCAACCAAATATAAACATGTTTACATCAGCCTGGATTCTGGATTTTCACCCGTCCGTGTGATATAGCAGACATCTTCGCAGACACTTTTAATTTTTCTTTTGGCATCGCCACATCAGCAGTGACAAAGCGTTAATAACAGCCAACATGAGGTGTTAATGAGTCTTCCTTTCTGAAGTCACGTGCTGACACTCACTCCTCCATTCATCATGTTTATAATTAAACGTAAGGAAAAAATATATGTTGAAAACCGTTAAATCAGATTGATCTGTGAGAACATTTCATTCCCAGAAACAAAGTCAAGCGAGGAAAATGTCATGCCGTTTAGATACATGTTTAATGAAGGCACTCTTTGCAAGATAAATAAAACATTGCACATTATGACACTGTGTACTGTACAAAGTTGACACATACAGTAACAGTCTTCACACACACATATATATTGCTTTGTACCATGTTAAAGTGCTGATAATTAAAATGACCAACATTTGTCATCTTATTGCTTTTCTGTTTTTATTATAGGTATTTAGTAAAAAATATTATGTCTCCTTTTACACTCACACATCAGCAAATTGAATATTGTAGGATTATTACAAAGGCATTAATTTAAAGCAGAAAACTGGAGTTTTTTTTTTTGCAGATGGCTCTATCTGGAGGTGGAAGAAAGTATAGCAAGTTCCCACTGACTCCCATGTTAAAAATGCCAACTTCACTGCAGAAATAAGCATGCTTACATTCTAGTGCAAAAACATTTTAGCACTAATAGGTCCAGTTTACCATCATGACAACTAGGGGATGAATTTATTTGTAACTCATCCATTTAGATGTAATTAAAGCTCAAAATTGGGAAAATTTAGGGGTATGGCCTTTTGATTTACAGATGTCAGATGAGCCATCAGCACCAGCAGCTTGCCCCCCTGCTTGCTCCAGGGACGGCCTCGGCCTCACATGAAAAGTGTTACCAGATGGTGGTAGTAGGAACCGCCCACTGGGCTTCAGTTCAGCTCTTTAGAAATCCACGGGTGTCAGTGTGAAGGGTTCCTTCACTAAACATACAGTAAATGGATTATTCATATATATATATATATATATATATATATATATATATATATATGCATTAGCCAATAGCGTTCGACGTTCGCTTAAGTACAGATGTAAATCACAGAGGTTGTGGGTGCATATGTAGACGTATAGGCTGATTTAATAACAAATAAGTAAATATATGAATATGTAAATATATATATAAGTAAATATATATATACTTATTTGTTTTTAAATCAGCCTATACGTCTACATATGCACCCACAACCTCTGTGATGTACATCTGTACTTAAGCGAACGTCGAACGCTATTGGCTAATGCTAAGTGGCGCTCAGTTTTAAAGATAAAGTCCCATAGTTGTCACACATACTGGTGTGGTGTGGTGAAAATTGTCCTCTATTTGACCCATCGCCGTGGGGAACGGTGAGCTGCAGACTCGGCCGCATTCAGGAACTAATTGGTGGTTCAAAATGCACGGGGCTTTATGGGACGGGGGGTGGGCTTAGTTTTGTTTACATTTGATCACAGTTCTTGGTATGACTCGTTTTATGGATTTGTAAAAAAAAAAAATAATGCACAATACCTGCAAGGGAAAAACTCCAGATTGCTGCTTTAAGTTGCAACTGCATTCACAAAATTTTAAATACAAGCCCTAAATACTCACATTTAGTATATTTTCAGTGAATGGAATGTGGCATGCATACAATGTGAGAATTTATATCTTTCTTAAATGAATTACCGGTACATGCCATCATATGTTTTTCTGCAAATTAACTTATTGCTGCTCTAAATTATGTGGAAAACAACAATCTTTACTTGAGAACAATATTACATTCAGCTTCAATGCATATGTCAAACCCTGACTTATTGATTACAGGGGTTACGCTTCAGTTCATCCTCAATGTCATGCAGTAAAAATAAGAGATAAAGGCAAGTGGAATAATGTTTAAATGAAAAAAAAATGTTTTTTGACCTTCATTTTTCTTAGTCATTACATAATTATATATCTTTTCTCACATTTCTGTACACCCTGACAAATGATTTTTTCCCTGTCGACCATGGAAGATGTAAAAGCTCCCAAAGTCTTCAAAGGTTACGTGGAAAAAAGACTTCAGTGCAATAAATTGGTATATTTTTAGAGTAAAATTCATATTAGAGAGACACGTTGGGATAATTCATTTACATCTAATACTTCTGTTCACTTGATGTCAAACAATAAAAAATAAAACAGTAAAAAAATACCATGTGACACCATTAATCACTGAAACTGCTGCGTGCAGCTATTACATGCACAAATTAGTCAACATTATCAGCTTTGATTTCTAATGTGCAGCCTTTCTATAAGATTAATAGCAGACATGCTACTGTGCCAGCTATTTATCACACATAGATTGTTACACTGGAGGTGATGCTGCCTGAGCAACTGCAGCTATAGATTTGCTGAGAAGACAGTGTGTATACCGATGTCTGCTTACCTTACACTGCACACACTCGCCTGCCCTTGAAAATCCCAACAAGGCCCTTTTGGATTTTGCTGAATACGATGAAGTGTAGACCAACACGGAGCTACGATGTAATACGAGCTCTGACTGTACCTCCCGGTATTATGCTATGATCACCAAACTGATTTTCTTTCTGCTGGAGAAATTTGTTCCTCTGATACAGATCAGATGAATGTTTTAAAACCAACCTCATTTTCTTGGCATGTTCAGTACAAAGTGAAATGTTCGCCAAATGCACGGGTGACATTTTTCTTAAAGCTGGTCCGTAATAGTTCACACGAGCTGACTGAAACAGTAGTTGCTGGTTTATGTTAATTGCACTTTGACACATCTACATGCAGACAGACAACTTGTGTTAAAAGTCGTCTCACCACACAGCGCCTAGTAATACTGAAAATATTTAAGTTTGAAGTACAAAAATGGTGAGAAAGAAACCGAGCGTGCCTCGCTAACAGATATGCTTGATTTTTGCTAATTACTCTTTGTGCCCCTCATGCTATCGCATACTCTTAAAGGTGCATGCCATTTTTCTCATTTTGCCAGGTGCAGTTACTTTTGTTCAGTGAAAGGCTGCTTCCATTTTTGTTAGCTGCTGACATTTTCTGAGCCGCTTCTGTAGCTGCATCCAACACCTGTTTCTCTTCCTGCTCGGTCTCACGGTGGTAAAAATAGTTAAAGTTCGAGACGATGACAGGGACAGGCAAGGCAATGGTCAGGACACCAGCAATGGCACAGAGAGTGCCGACCATTTTGCCTCCCATGGTGATGGGGCACATGTCTCCGTAACCGACGGTGGTCATGGACACCACAGCCCACCAGAAGCCGTCAGGGATGCTAACGAACTGCGTTTGGGGCTCATCCACTTCTGCAAAGTAGATGGCACTAGAGAAAAGGATGACTCCTATGAAAAGGAAGAAGATTAACAACCCCAGTTCCCTCATGCTGGCTTTTAAGGTCTGACCCAAAATCTGAAGACCCTTCGAGTGTCGGGAGAGCTTAAAAATTCGGAAAACTCTCACTAGTCGGATGATCCTGAGGATTGCCAAGGACATGTTCTGACCTGAGTTCAAATCATCGTCAGGTGTTGTAGCCAGCTCGGTTCCCAGGGTTACAAAATAGGGAATTATTGACACTATGTCAATGATGTTCATGATGTTATTAAAGAAATCACTTTTGCTGGGACACACCAGAAACCGAACACACACCTCAAAGCAGAACCAAATAATGCAAACAGTCTCCACAATGAAAAACGGATCTGTGATGTATGACATTGCGGTCTTGGGGGGAGGACGAGCAACAGATTTGTCTTGAGAGCCGTTGATCATTTGGGTAAACGCTGGAGGAAATTCATGGTCGTCTCTGAACTCTGGCAGAGTTTCCAGGCAGAAGATGAAGATGGAAATCACAATGACAAACACGGAGACCAGGGCTACAGATTTGGCTGCACTGGAGCTCTCTGGGTATTCAAACAGGAGCCAAAACTGTCTCTGCAGTTCGTTGGTGGGCAAAAGTACCTCGGGCTCTTTGATAAATCCCTCATCCTCACGAAACTGCTCCAATGCCTCGTAACCCAATTCATAGAAAACTATTTCGTTTGCAAAAACATCCAGGGGAACATTGGCCGGCCTGCGGAGTCTCCCTCCTGACTGGTAGTAGTAGAGAATCCCATCAAAAGATGGTCGATTCCGGTCAAAAAAGTACTCGTTTCTCATGGGGTCAAAGTAATTTATCCTCTTCATCGGGTCGCCCAGCAGAGTCTCTGGAAACTTACTCAGGGTACTGAGGAGGGTTTCATACATCATTCCCGAAATATTGATGACAACTTTCTCGTCTTTTTCTTCCATGCAGTGCTTTTCAAACAGATCCTCAGTTTCATAATAATCCTTCTGCATCTTACTGAAGACGCTGTCCGTGGGCGACTCGCTGTTGATCAGGAGCTTTAGATTGGAAATCAAGCTGCCACTGCTGGTGTTTGCTTTAGAGGTTAGAGTTGGAGGAGTTGATGGTGACAACCCGTCCTGACCAGACTGACGTCGACGTCGCCCTCTACGCGGTGACTGGTGAGGAGAGGCGAGCCGGTGGGTTAACAGGTTGTGATCAGGAGCCTCTGAAGTCGGCGAAGTCGGGTACCCAGAGTCGCTTGGATCGCCCAAATTGATTCCAACATCATCCATGTTCTCAAAATTAACAAGTGGCACCTCCATGGTGTGCTTTTTGTTGCTAGCTGCAGCAATGCCAGTCAGCCTGGTTCAGGAGACAGTGGAGACACCTCGACCAGTGCCACGCTGTAGATGCTGGTGGGGCTTCTCTCCTTCTGGTTACCATTCAGGCTGTAGTATACTAACTTTGGATTCAGGATTCTGGATATTCTGCAAAATAGAGATGGAGGAAGGAAATGTTGTGTTACATTTTCTTAAGCTCTGCAGTCCAGTTTTGTTGGTTAAGAGATTTTCTGTCAGCTCCTGTTTGCATCAGCAGAGAAACTGCCATCTGATACTCTGCATGCAGTTATTTTTTCCCTTCAATTTTTCTCCAATGACCTAAACAAAACACAAACTCTGCAAGATCAAATGAGAAAGTGCTTACGTGCAGAATGAATGGCACTAGTGCTGATCACGTGCTGCAAAACTGTTTTTCTCCCAGAATGACAACCAATCCTTCACAGAGGACTGAAAATACAAACTTCTTTTATGGGAACGCCTTTATTTTCCTCAGTGGCCTGGTGGTTAACTGTACCTTTCTAACACACAATTTGTTTGACCTGTCCCAATCCAGCTCAGGTTTAAGATAGTTTTGGGCTTCATTTATGTTTATGACTTCTTTTTGTCTGGTTCAGAAAGGTAACTAAACCCTGAAAGCATGCTTAGTGGCTGTCGTGCACTTGACACTGAGGGCCCTGCAAGATGCAGAGAGATCCTTTGTTTCCATTCGCTGAGCAGCAGATAATGTAACAGTTGAGAATGTAGAATTTCATCTCACATAGTGAATTTCTATCCAAAAACTTAAACGTAAACGAAGAGTTGTTACTGGGTCCCAATAAAAAGGACTGAGGGTGACATGAAGAACTGAAAAGTTATTTTCAACATTCTTTGATCTCAGAAATTTACCTAGAATTCCCTTGATGCCGTTAAAACCTTCGAGGCTGTCATTAACTGACACTAAGCTGACAATTTAAGAAACAGTTCTTGCTCTTCTTCAGCAGCCTCATCAGAACTCAATGACGAGCACAACAAAATCCATGCAGCTGTTGGAGGACTCACCCGTGTCCTCGAGTCTGCAGAAGTTCCTGTGCACTCCCTGTCCGACTAGACGGCTCTTTCCAGTCCCCTCTTTACTCCCTTCACTCTCCCTCATCCAGACTCCCAATCAAGAGTGTCTCTAGCGGTATTAAAGCTGCCACTATGTAATTTAACACCGTGTGCGAAACATAAGATTCTCAAGGTACCCACACAAATTCACAAACGTACACTAGTGCTCTCTCTGTTTCTCTCTCTCTCTCTCTCTCTCTCTCTCTCTCGCTCTCTCTCACACACACACACACACACACACACATGAACAGACACAAACCAACAAAGGCAACTGCCTGTATAAATGTGGGGGTCACCTGGCTTTGTTCTCGATGCTCCCTCCTCCATCAGCGTGGACACTATTGGGAAGCTTCCTGATAGGAGATTTACTGTTCGGGAGCCAATCGCTGTTTGATGAGGGGAAAAGGAGTGTGGGACCCACTCGTCCCCCCTTTCTGCAGACTAAGCATCCACACGCAGGATCCTCCAATCCAGCCTCACCTTGGGGATTAAACTATTCTTTCCCTACTTTTGTTCAGTACCTGGAGCAACATCGGTTTGCCTAAGGACTTCAGCTTCTTTTTGCTTGTTTTGTAATGTAAACTGACACAAACTTATTCCATCCAGCATTTGTATTGTATGTAATGGCTGAACTGTCACAATAAATCTCTATAAAACTGTTGTTTTGTTTCTGTTCTTGTCCTGCAGCCACATGCTGATGCAAGTTCCTATTTGACTGAAATAAATAACTAGAAGTGACTGAAGAAATAAAATCATACATTCCAATATTAGCTCGCTCCAGTTCTCTCAGGGATCAAAACGTAATTAAAGTTACTCTTTCTCTTTTGCTGGAGGACAGCCAAATTGGCACGATGGGCTGAATATTGTGTTTCCTGACTGATACCTGTTTGCCTTGTGGCAGATTTTCATCTCTTCATCTCATTACCGTCCTGCTGCAGCCAGGAGCTGCCCGTCTGCTGTTCCCCTGTAACATTGCGGCGTGAGCGAGACCACTGCAGGTGGACACGGACACATGACTTCAAGGTCACAGCAAACTCTTTTAGGACTTCACAGGCTGCCCATTCTCATACGTCGCCACAACATTACCTCATTATGTCCTCCTGCAGGAACCCCGTGCATCCAGGGAATTTAAATTTCAAGTTTGTGTCAAAGGCATTGACACAGGAAATGCCTTGCAAAGCACAGGAAGGAACGTGCGCGCACACACACACACCTCACAGCTGACTCGACATCCTCCACATTTTCCTTGTAAGTTCCTGCACGTGTCATTGAAGACGCGGTCAGTCGAGGCATGACCCGCCATCTTAACACTTCATCATTTAGTTTGCTACAGACAGAAAAAGATGGACAGTCCCGATCATATACTACAGAAGTCAGACCAAGAGTGGGTAAACAGTCATTTCAGTCCTTTAAAAAAACATTTGTGTCAGTTAAAGTGGGAATAATGGGTAGATGGCTGTAGATATGAACTTCATGGTGTCATAGACTGCAGCTGCCGCATTGTCACTCGCCTCAGGGGAACTGACTGGGTACCAGAGGGATTAATGCCCCTCCCTCTACCCTTCCATGCAGACCTCTATCCATCATCTGTCCCTCCTCTCTCCCCTCCCTCTGATGACACTATCACCTTACCAATAAACAGTCTGTGTTGACAAAGCAATTTCTTCATCAGCAGGGCTATTTGTGAACTATACTGAGTAGAAACACCTCCAGCACACCTTCATGGAGTTTACTTTGAGTCATGTCTGATGCAAGTGGTAACATTTGTTCTGGAAAAAGGAAATAAACCATAAGCTAACTTTGAAGTGAATCAATTTTCCACATTATTCTGGAATCATTGCAAAAGTAATAAAGAATGAGTACATTTTATAATGTAACACATGAAAACTGTTTTTTGTGACAATTAAGGGTGGAATAGTGTGTTAAGACTTTGAAGATCAAGTAGGCGGTTTTAGCTTGCTTTTAGCACCCCCTAGTGTCCGTTTGTAGAACCGAAAGCAAAATCTGTCTCTTCGCTATGCGTTTGCCTTTTTAACACCTTAATCTAACAGCTGAAATGTCTCCTCAGCCTTCGTTAATGTCTACAGGAGTGCTTCATTAACAAATTAAACAAGTCAGCCGTGTTCGTGATCTAAAACATGCAGGAAAAGTGGAATATTCTGGCCACAGGGAGCAATAGGGACTGGGTGGCCTTTCATTAACCCTGTAAAGGGTCATTTTAGCACATACTGGCTCAAGAAAATGATTTAAAATCTAAAAAAGTTGCAAAGCGTCCCTTTAAGTAGCTTTGGATCTCTATAACTCCGTTAGACTTCAGAATAAAGTTGGAATGTGTCACAGTAAGTTGCACTATAAGTGACTAATTTGTGTCATTTTGATGTATTTCATTGTCTTTACTCAATTAAAGCTTCTTTCCGGAGTACTTCTCTTATCTGATGGCACCATCTTAGTGGCTGACAAGCATAACACACAAAAAGTCTATTCCTCTGTTTGTTTAAGATGGCGACTTCAAGTTTCTATTTATAAATGTGCTTCTGTAGCCAACAAACAGAGCTAAAACACGTTGTTTTACCAGTATTATTCTCATGTCATGCTGTGTTCTCATACATTTATATTTTAGACTTGCTTGTCTGTGAAAAGTTCATCAATTCTGCATCAGTCGAGGTGTTCCTTAAATTTGAAGCAAGTAAGTGGTAGTCTAACGCTATTGGTTAGTTCTGGTCGGCGCTCAGTTTCCTATTGCACGGAGCTCTGCGGGGCAGGGGGCGTGGTTAGCAAAAAAAAAAAGACGTATTGCTTACATTTAATCACAGTACATGATGAGATAATCACTTTTACGGATTTCAGAAAAATCATACATCATTTCTGAAAGGGGAAAACTCCGGAATGCAGCTTTAAGTTTGGCAACAGCGACTTGGAGACACAGGTGCAACCAGAAAGAGCCATTAGCAGTTACCATGGTTACCTTACTGAGCCAAAGGCTGCAGCTTTAACATTTTAATCTAAGTTGTCTTTACCCCTCTTACATATTTAAATTATAAATTTAGCCTTTGAATTTTTTTCTTTTTCTGCCATCATGAACTCACCAAGTCTTTGTGCTGGGATTGAATTTGTGCAAAAACATTGTCAATGCTTTTGCCACACTTTGTGAGTGAATGCACTCAGGCGGAGGAATTCTCAACTTCCTGCTTGTTTGGTGAGGTATCACGTGTCCCAGAGCGTCCCAAAATGTCTAGCACCAACTCATTAGCTATGGATCCATGGGGTTTGCAGAGTGGAGTGTCTGTGGATTGAGTTTACTTCCCCCAACACCTTCAAATTAAATCAAATATCTGGTGACTCAAAGTGGCATCCAAACAAATGCCAGGTAGCCTAGTGAACTAGACCAAATTAGCCAAGCTAAATGCCAGGATGAAAAGACATATATGTAGATATAGATCATCAATGTACACAGATTCTGCTGTGAGTCATTAAAAAAGGATAACTAGTGCTAACAACACATTTAAAACCACCTACCCTGATCGGCTGATTAGGGGACGAATCAGAAGCTGTGAAGTGCTGATCTTGTACACATGATCTAGGTAATTCTATCTGAAAAGCCCTTATGCTCATCCATTAAGGATGACAGGATTTCAAAGTGCCTGTAAGGTAGCGCGGATTAGATATTCCAGCCTCGAAATCTTAGCTGCTGTAAAGTCAACTGGTTATTCCAGTCTAGTAATCCTATATTTTACACCAGGGGTTCTCCTCATTGCAAATTTCATGGCCACTTGGGGTCAGAAGGACAGCTAAAATCCCCAATACAGCTTCAAACTTTAAAATACCAGAAACACATCCTGATTCAAGTAGAGTTGATTGGCTCAAGAGGTCTAAAACAGCAGAGATCACGGCTTTTCATTGGAGTTATCTTACAGGTAAATTCACAAATAAGAGAACTCATTACACATTTGTTAGGCCTACATCTCTCCCTGATTTCATCCCTTCTCACCATCATTATGAAACAGATAAAAGAAATGCATTATTCAAATTCATGTGACAAGGTGATCTCTCCTCTGTGAGGACACAAAAAACACCACTGTGTTACATAACAAAATTAATTTTTCCTGAAATTTACTCCAGTGACTTGATTGCAAATTGACAGAAAGTGGGACCAGAGTGCTGCTTTTCATATTTGTCATCAGGGCCGGAGTGGGACACATTTTCAGCCCTGGAGTTTCAGACCCCAGACCGGCCCACTTAATGAATTATTATTAAAATCGTGTTAGAACTTTATATGTATAGTCTACAAAAGCACACTACTCGGTAAAGCCTTGTAATTCAGTGCAAGAAAGAGTTGCTTTACAATGTAGGTTTATTTGAACATCAGTGCACATCTCCAACATTGTTCTTTACAACACATTCTCTAACAATATAACAATCTACATTCTGTTCAAACAGCTGTTCTGAGATTTTCAAATCTTTAAAATGAAATGACTCAGCACTCCCTTTCACACTTTTTCCAGTTTCCCTAGACTCACCTGCACACAATTAAAATAATCATCTGTAAAGCTTTGGCACATTTGATATAGAAAACACATTTTTTGTAACCAATGAAAATATTTCTATGGCAAAATATGCAGGCTTATTTCATTTTACTTTCATTCTAATAGCGATCTGTTGTGGGCTTTGTGCATTTACTAATGAAAATACAACAGGTCCCTACTATTATTTGGACATTAAAATTATTATAATGAAACTGATGTTTGCACATGAGTTGGCTCACCTTCTATCCCAACAAGAGCAATACCCTCACTGCTGGCTCCTGGCTCTTCTTCTGACACTACATTGTGTGAAAATTGTCATAATTCAGCATTCATTTTCCTTTTTTACACGCTTTCTGATCAATGCTGAATCATCTAGCATTTTAGAACACGTTCATATAGAGCCAGGATAGTTTTCATCATATAAATTTTAATAATATTCAGTTCACTGACTCAATAAGTAATCCTACCCGTACATGTCCGCTCTGGAATGGTGGGTTTCTGCCTGGTGCTTATTAGGCCTACTGGATCTTGTGGGCTACAAGACAGTTTGGTGGCATCAGTCACATCATACTGTTAACTATATTACATAACGTTATGTCATGACGCCATATAATTCATTATTGATGCTTAATTAACTTGAATGGTGCATTTGCAGC